TTAATACATCTGTGTGCTATTTTGGAACCATCCTTTCTTCCAGGGAAAATTGTTGATTTCAATGGCAACATTAGATGGTAAGTATTCTCTCATGCAGTTGTCCTTAACTGTGGTAGATATGATCAGTTGTGAGATTTGTTGTGCTTAATTTACTATAAAGAAAGTACTCAAGTGTGGGAACAGTTTACTTATCAATTTATAAATCAGAGCAGAATTAAGGTTACCCTTGTAACCTTAATTTGTTTTCAACATGCCTTTGGGATTGCAAAGAAAAGAATGAACTATAGTGAGATTTTAAATAATGCTCATAGGAGTGTATCACTCATGTGTTCTTCCCCTCACCCCACCACCATGTCACTCAAGGATTGAAAAAACTGGAGAATTGCTGACTCACAATGTTAGTGACCTAGGAGGAAGGTGCATCTTACTCTTACATTTTTTAACGAAGGGGTACATCGATGATCAGAGCTCTCAGTCCCTAAGATAACTCTTTTCACCACCAAAGAGTACAGTCTTCCCTCTACTGACGTTGAGGTGTTGGGTTCTTCTCTCTGACTCTGAAATCCAAAGCCTCTCTGCATATTTGTGTGTGTGTGTACATGTACACACACACACAATTAGGGGATATGCACATGGGATTGTTAACATCCCCATTGTTCACATGCCCCTCTCAGTGTTGGAGGGTCTTGTTTGCTGAGAAGGAGCACATGGTTCCCATGAATTGGCACTGTCTGTTCTCTTACAGCTTTTCTGTAGGGTCATTACTGTTGAGTGATCGCTCAATAAGGGTAAGTGATAGCTTTGCTTACTCTCTTCTTGTTCTCCTTGGTCATACTTGGAGGGCATTTGGGATCTGGGGCCATGAGATATGGTCATCAGCCCTTATTATCAAACAAGATTTCAATTACAGTGACAACCCAATGCACCAAATTATCAGGAATACAGTCCTTGACACTGTCCCCTCTCGTCCCTCTCTTGGCTGGGCAGTGGTGATGAGGCAGATGCTCTGTGTCTTGGAGCAGAGAATTCAGCAGAATCTCGGGAGAAAGGGCCAGAGCTTAAAGGACAGGTCTTCTCATGCTGGTCCAGGTTCAAATCCCAGCAATACTGCCAGAAAGTAACACAGTTTAGTGCTCTATTGTTCTAAGGGCTTTAGTGTTCACTCTTCATGAAAGGGACATTCTCAGTTATCCCGGTGGGAGAATTTGACTTCTGATAGTGGCTGTACTGGGTTTTAGTTCCAATTCTATTACCACTGGCAGATTGCTTCATCTCTTCAAACCTCTGTATTCTCCCCCACCCCAGCTTTATGAAGGTGTAATAGACAAAAATTATACGTATTTACAATGTACAACATGATGTTTTGATACATGTATACATTGTAAAATGATTAAATCAAGATAATTAACATATTCATCACCTCATATAACATCATTTCTTTGTGGTGAAATTGTTTTCTTAATTGTTACAACTAAGGTTGGCCCAGAACAGTGGTTCTGACAGTTCAAACTTGAGTGTGCATCACAATCACCTGGAGGGCTTGTTACAACAGATTGCTGGACTCAGCCTCAGGTCTGGGCAGGACCCAAGAATGTGCTTTTCTAACGAGCTTCAGGTTTTGCAAATGCTGCTGGTCCAGGGACCACATATGGATCACCACTGGACTCGATGAGATTTAATATGCCTTTGAACTCAAAAAAATATTTTGCTGTGTTAATCTGAGCAGGTCACTTACCTAATCTGGCCTCCGTTTTTTAATCTTTGGAATGAGGATACAGAGACCCACTTCCTAGGGTTATTGGGAGGATTTAAAGGAGATAAAACATGTGAAAGAGCACAGTGTCTGGCACCCAGAATGCGCTCAGTAATTATTAATTTTGTATTTCTGCTCAGCACTCACTGGAATCCTTGTGTGCCCTTTAGCCTACACATACAGAGTAAATAGGATCGAAGTTGGGTTTTGTGGCTCCAGGAGCAGACACTGCGGGCCCGGAGAGCTCGCTAAGCCTCTGGCATGAAAAGTCTGCTGTCAAAACCCTGAGATTTTTGAAAGGAAAAAAGAGGAAAAAAATAAATAAACAAAAAGGCTTCAGTGCCTGGAAAACAGACACCCCTAGGAACTCACCCTGGGTGCCCTTTTCCTTGTTCTGCACATCCTATCCCTTTAACACATTAACTGCCATGTGAGTTGTACATAACTCACACTGGTTTTGAGCCCGGGGCCTCGTGAAGCATATATAACTCACATGTCTCTTCACTGTGGGAGCTGCGTGGACTATTTTTCAAGTTGCATATAACTCACACATGGAAAACAATAAAAAATAAATTTTTCATTAAATTAGAAAGGATTGTTTTGTTTTTGAAGTTTTTGTTCTATTTTTGTAATAAAACACCGTGGCTGCAAGGAAATTTTTTTTTTTTCTAGTGTGGCAGTGTGTTAAGCCTGTTGCTTTGTGTAGGTTTTTCTTAAAAAAGAATGGAGAATAAATTGAAGTTGGCTCAAAGAAAGACGTACAAGTCCAGCTAGTCTGATTAATGACAGGAATCTCAGTACCTGCCGCTAGAGGACCCAAGAGGACAGGAAAGAACTGGTCATTGAGCGCTTTTCTCTCCCCAGCCTCTGTGGGCACATTTGCAGAGCCAGGCCCTGGCTCAGATTGCACCGAAAGTAATGGAAATCAATGTTTATTGAGCATCTGTTATGCACCAAGAACTGTGCATTCATTTGCTCAGTTTAATCCTCCCAAACCCTGGCAAGGTGAGCATTGTTATCCCAGTTGTACAGGTCAGGAAACTGAGGTTAGAGAGGTCAAGCAACTTGGCCAAAGTCACCCAGC